TCCAACAACAGCCTGAGTGGTCCTTTGCCAACAGAGTATTTCAACAACTTCAAAGCCATGATGAGCATTGATCAGGATATGGATTACATGAGGACAAAAAATGTATCTACTACTTATGTTTTTTCTGTGCAATTGGCATGGAAAGGTTCGAAGACTGTGTTTCCTAAAATTCAAATTGCGCTCACGACACTTGATTTATCCTGCAATAAATTCACGGGAAAGATTCCAGAGTCCCTCGGGAAGCTTAAATCTCTGAAACAGCTCAACCTTTCTCACAACAGCCTCATTGGTGGTATCCAGCCGTCATTGGGGAATTTAACTAATCTGGAGTCGTTGGATCTCTCTTCAAATCTGCTTGCTGGAAGGATTCCTCAGGAACTGGTAGCTTTAACATTTCTTCAAGTCCTGAACCTTTCGTATAACCAACTTGAGGGACCCATACCTCTAGGTAAGCAGTTCAATACATTTGAAAAAGGTTCATTCGAAGGGAACGTGGGATTATGTGGGTTTCCCTTGCAAGTAAAATGCAACAAAGACGAGGGGCAACAACCGCCTCCGTCAAACTTCGAGAAAGAAGATTCAATGTTTGAAGAGGGATTTGGATGGCAAGCTGTAGCAATGGGTTATGGATGTGGATTTGTCTTTGGAGTCTCTATAGGATATGTTGTATTTAGAGCAAGAAAAGCTGCATGGTTTGTGAAAATGGTTGAAGACAGTGCCCATCAATATGGTAAAAGGCTTAGAAGGGAGAATGCTCCCAGAAATGGTGGAAGACGATACTAGCTACTCAGGGCAGTGTGAGAAGGTAAGTCTTGATAATGCTTTTAACTAATAGCGCAAATATTTTATTCCATGATCCATCACCACCAGCTTAGTTAATTAACTTGCTTTGTGGACTAGATCAATAATGGCAGCAGTCAAGAAGAGGGAATCATCTTCCAGGCTAGTGCCGCTGCTTTTTATTTTTTGTACGTCGTGTGTTTGGTTATATAAACCATCCTTATAGTTAACTTTTGAAAACAAAATGTAAAAACCTATTTGCGCTAAAAAAAATTTATTTTTTTTATTTTGGTTATGTAAACCATCCTTATAGTTTATTATATGATTTATGGATGGTTCCATAATTTTAATTTTTTGTAAATTGAAACCTATTTAAAAAAGCTATAAATCCTTTAAATTGAAAGAAATGAATTACCATTTTTAAATTAAAAAGTTAGTCATGTAAATTGTTAAATTAATTATTCAAAGTTTTCTATCATTTCTACCATGATTTAAGCTAATAACATTAACCTGTTATAATAGGTAGGTTGACCTGATATAGGACAATTATATGTTAATTAGATATTGGTCCTGAATTTATTGTTTCAATACCATAGAAAAAATCATAATTTAGATATTCTGTAATCTCTGTCTTAACTTTTTGCACCACTATGTACTTTTTTCTATACATAAATTATATATATAAAAAAACCAAATTTATTTAGGAGAAAAAACAGAACAATAAATTTCTTTTTTTTTTTCATTTAGGTTTTTTAACACTATTTAATGTTAAAAAATTAAAAGAGTTACATGAAGAACGACACCGTTTTGAAATAAAGGAGAAGCGTCAAATAATAAATTCCTTGCTTGAGAGAGAGAGCAACGAGAGAGAAGTGTGATAATTTGAAATAAATAAAAAGAAAATCGACTTGCCGCCATTTCTCTCCTTCAAAACCCCCACACCACAAGCCAAGAAGAGAAGAGAAGAAACGTTTCCAGCCAGAACTCTTTCAGGTTAGGGATTCGTGTCTCTTCAAATAACATTTCACTGTTTCCGAATAAACGTATAAATTTGATTTATCAATAGCAATTGCTGCTGCTTTGCAATTTCGATGGTCACTTTGCTCGCGTTTTAGATCTCCATATAATTTATTTATGTTTGTAATCTCTAGTTTCTTTACGATTTCAGTCGTTGATTTGTGATTTTCATTAAGGAGAACGCTAAGGAGTGTAATTTTCAGGAAAACATATCAATTCAATTCCGTTTGTTTGCGCGTCATCTTTTTTCTCGTTTTCCGTTTGGACGCCGAGAAAATTTGAGAATCGGAAAGGAGTTTCAGGAATTTGAATAATAAGACTTCTTTTTTTGAACTCGAAAAAATTGGTGGTTTTCATGCAAATTTTGGGTCTGCGCGGACTTTTTGTCTCAGCACCAAACTGAGGGTTCTCGGTCATTTTCATGACCTTGACTAATTTTTCTTGATCACTGAGTAACCACTACCTTGATCAATATTTAGACTCTAGAAAATCTGTGTGATGTGATACTCAGTGATGAGGATTTGACACTTTGCAGCTGTATATTTCACAAAATTTTAGCAATTCTTTTGAGATTGTGATAAGGGAGTGTTTTATCTTATGAAGAATACTTTTGTAAAAAAATATAAATATTTGCACTCTTTTTTCTTTTGAGACTCAGTGTTCTATTTTTCTGTGTATGATCAATATCACTCTTTATTTGACAAAATATGAAGCTCTATGATTTTAAAGAATTTACAGGGACTAAAAAATTCAATATTTTCAGTATTTACAGCTGATGATTTTCGCCAGTGTCATCCAAAACTTGAATTTTTAAAACCATGTGGCTGCATGTAATAGTGATGTAGATTAGTTTGAATCTATGTGTCTGCATGTGATGTTGTAGCTAATGCTAATGCTATGAAACTCCTTTTATTAGGTTCAGATGAGTGGATAATATTTGGATAAAAGTTTTATAGAGAAGGTGAAAATGAGATGCAATTCATGCTGGCGAGAATTGGAAGGGCGTGCTGTTTCTACTACTTGTGGTCACCTCTTATGTATCCAAGATCAGATTATGATTAAGCTTTTTTAGTTCTATGCTTTCTGGATTACCGTTGCTTTCGCATATTGTCCCTTAACAGAATAAACAGGCACTGGTTTTCATGCAAATTTTGGGTCTGCGCGGACTTTTTGTCTCAGCACCAAACTGAGGGTTCTCGGTCATTAAGATGCAAACAAGATCCTTAATAATGATGCAGCCTGTCCAATCTGTGATCAAGTGCTCTCTAAGAGGTGAGTGCTTTATGGAAATGCTTATTCCTTGAAATGCTTGTTGTGGCTTGGAATTGTTCCTTAACAAATAGAATTTATTTGACTTTTCCTTGAATTTAATATATGAAGCTCTTATGATTTTAAAGAATTTACTGGGACTAAAAAATTCAATATATTTTTCAGTATTTACAGCTATATCTGTCAATTTTATTGAACACCTCTAATATGAACACCTCTAATATGAACTAATGATATGCGTAATCTTTACTCATGTTTCTTGCTCATGGTATTCTGATTTTACTTTCAATTTTGGTTTCCTCTTTACAGCCTTATGAAACCTGTGGAGATCAATCCAAATGATGAATGGATAAGTGTAAGAAAGGACTTAGCTTAGAATATTACGAATATCTTGCTTCTTCTATTACATATTATTAAAGTGAAATCTAAACATGCATCATTATTTGGTCAAGACATTGCTATTTCTTATTTTACTGGTTGCCTTTTTCCTTTTATTCATAATGAATTTCTTGCAGATGGCCATGGCTGGAATATCTCCACAGATATGTATCCTTTTTAAGTTAATACAATTTTTCCTCAAATCCATCAACTACTAGTTTGAATGCAAGTAGAAAATTTGAAATGATAAGACTATTTGGTGGTACTCATAATTCTTCTATTTCATTTGGGAGAATTACCACACTGAATAGCAGAATGGTTCTTAGCATTCACTGGGAAACGTGCAAAAACAGCCTTTTAATCCTTGCATCTTCCTTAAATGACCCCAGTGATGAAAAGTGCATACAGAAGCGTGATGTTTTTTACTGGGCAAAGGGAACTTGAGATGCAATACAAGATGAATAGAATTGTAGCTCAGTGCCGGCAAAAATGTGAGTCCATGCAAGAAAAGTTCACGGAAAAACTGGAGCAGCTGCACGCTGCATATCAGAAAATGGCCAAAAGGTGCCATATGATGGAACAAGAGATTGAGAGCTTGTCAAAGGATAAACAAGAGCTCCAGGAGAAATTTTCTGAGAAAGCCAGGTCAGTTTATATATTGTCCAAAGCCTTCAATTACTTTATCAGCTTATGATGCAAGCCTGGATCGTAATAAACACTGGTACTTTCTATACTAGGCAGAAGAGGAAACTTGATGAAATGTATGATCAGTTGAGGAGCGAGTACGAGTCAAATAAAAGATCAGCCATCCAACCAGCAAACAATTTCTTTTCAAGAAATGAGCCTGATTTGTTCTCAAACCCTGCAGCTACCATGATGGATAACAGAGACCCTATCCGTAAAGGTAATCATTTTCATTTTATAATGGCAATAGGACAGCATAGGCTCCTTGTGGTGCCTTAAAATGTTTCTTGATTATTAAAGTCCTTGTTAAGCTTGCAACAATGGAAATGTTTGCTTTGTCATTGTCACGCTATAGCTTTTAATAATGCATTTTGGTTAAGCATCTCCAAAATTAGTTGACTTAATTTATGCAGATTGGACGGTTTTCACTCCCTCAACTCCAGGGCCTCGGGAGGATATATGGCCGGCAAGACAAAACAGCTCGAATTCTGGTCCCTTTGAAATCCGTGGTGGCTCACCAGCAAACCAGGCAGCCATGCCAGTTGATGTTGGAAATAGAAGAATTGGTGCTGTCCCTTCCTTTGGAGCTGGATCTGGCAACCCCTCAATGACGCTAAGGAACTTGATACTATCCCCGATAAAGCGCCCTCAACTTTCACGTAGCCGCCCTCAGATGTTCACGTAAGTGGTGGACTGTTCATTAACCAGACTTCGCAGTAGCGTAGCCCAATCTTTGTATTTTGATTCAAATTGCTAGATATTTGATATTTCTGATTAATTTATCTTTTATATTTTCTTTTTCAGGCTGTAGGCTACAAGGCAAGGCGTGCAGCTTACCTGCACTCGCCGGACTGCTTGGTTTCAGAACAGTCCTGAGAAGCTTTTTCTGTCTTCCCTTTCCTTTTCCTGTCTTCCAGAAAACAAAGAAAAAAAAAAGGGAAGGAGAAGAATGATGACGTGGCACAAACAAGAAACTGTAATCCTGATATCATGCAAGCGTAGATTTTGGCTTCCATGCCAACAGATACATGGAAATAGCAATTATACTGTTGGATTTCTTGTTTGATATAATTAAAAAGGGTACATAGAAGTTGTCAAAGCGCTAGCTTAAAAGGGGCACACGTGTTTGAACCTCGGCAACTCTTGATGCTCTTGCGTGGCTCTTGTAACAGTAGCATCCTCTGCTTTCTCTGACCAGTTTAACAGAGGATTCAGGTTCTACTAGGAAATACTGAAATGATATTAGCATTTTCCTCCGGAGCCTGGATTTCTCGATCCAATTGCAACTTTTGTGCCTGTCTGCTATGAAAGAACGGCTGGACCATTTAGGCAGTTACAAATCTTAAGAGTCAATTCTAATTGGTCAATAAAAACGTATTTCAATGCCATTTCTTTTCTATTTTTCAAGCAATTTCACTTCATTGTCGTTATTTAGAGTACATGATTTAAAACAGAGAACAGCATCTTGCTTGATACAAGGGCCTTGAGTTACAATTTTCCCACAGTTGATTCTCTGGGCCGGCACAAGCTTGGGTTCACAAGGGAAAATGGAGATCCTGCGTTTTTGACTTCTCAATAAGAGAAATATAATTTCCCTACAAAATTACAAGACCTCTATCATGCATGCAAAATTTCTGTCCTTTCAGGTATTTACACTCCCTGTTCACATGTCCTCTGTGTTAATCTTGAGGCAAAAAAACTTTCAAGCCCGGGGCCTTGGAAGACATTTCAATGGTATCCCCATGCTGGATAGAGTGGAAAACATGAGAACCATCAATATATATTACTCCCTTCTTGGAAAACCATGAGGCCTTCATGGACTGATCGGATTTAATTATCCCGTGCATTAACCTGATTGCAGCTCCAGGTGAAATGGGTTCTCTCACCATATATTGAAGGTCCTCGGATAAA